ATACCTAAACTTCTGTTGAAACCTTTTCTCGGAAAAGACTAATAAGAGAAAACGAAGGCCTCCTGGAATGGCTAAAGCTTTTGGAATGAGAAGGTGCAGGAGAATTGAAAACCATTGTAAAATATTATTTAGTAATAACTTTCCGTGATACTTAACGAAAATAGATTTAAAACATACTGTTAGCTACTACTTATGTTTCTAAAGGTTAAAAAAAATTAGATCTAATTTTAAGTTCTTTTCTCTACATATTCCTAGGTTTTGCATATGATTAAATGTTCCACGACTTGTTCCATTACAACTTAACTGAATAGAGATGGGCGGGACTGTAGTGCTTTTTCCCTGCAATTTATCATGAAACAACTTTTCTATCAAGAAAACAGAGGATACAGCTCTAAGCCGAAATCAGAAATAAGCTATCTTTTATATAGAGGCAGCCGCACAGGCAAAATCCTAAATGCCAGGGCACCGCGACTACTATGAGGAGCTTATAGAAACTTTGTTAATCCGATTTTTGTATTACCTAAGGAGGCCGAAGTGAGGCGGGTCTGTCTGGCAAGCATATCGCGGGGCGACATCAAGGAGGAGAGCTATGAGGAACAAAATTCATTGGCGTAGGAGTAGAAGAGCTAGCTCGCCGTCGGCCGCCGCACAGTGTGGCGCCCAATGGACAAACAAAATTACTCAAAAACATAATTTTTGACATTAGAATTCTGTTGGTTTTATTGGATAGATAAATAGTCACTGCAACACGTAAGTATAGTACTTTAATCAAGTTTCCTGCGATTTACCTATTTTAGCAACTTTAAAGTTAGACATGTCGAGACCTGTCAAGAAGGCGAAAAATCTCTCTGTTTTATTGCTCGGGAAAGATATAAATTTTGTGTCGAAATATTTAAATATTTTAACTTTTCCAATATGGCTGGTAATGAGGCTGGTAAGTACATTATATTGATGTATAGATTTATTTAAAATATAATTATAATTAGATAATTTTTTAAGTTAAAGTGACTATTACCGATTTTTGTAATTTTTTTTAAACTTTTGACTTTGTTTAGAGTTTTATCACCTCCCATCACCCTAAAAATTTTTTTATTTGTTGTTTATCTGTCCATAGTAAGTTTTGATAAAAAGTTTAAATCACGTCATGCCACGTCTAAGGGAGATATAATTTTTTTTAGGACATGGTGCTATTGTCAGAAATAGAGATTTGATTGATGTGTGGATAGAAGCACCGAGAGGAAATAGAAAACAGGTGGTTTATGAAAAGATATTATCTCTTATTGATATAACAGATGAACCTTCCAAACATCTTAAAAGTAATATTATGAAATGCAGCTAGTTGTTTGGGTTGAAAATGGCAAATAAATGGCAGAAAGTAGGACAATGTCGGAATCGACTTTTACAAAATCAGGTATATTGGTTAGACAAGATTATATATAGAATAAATAATGATTCTGAAGTAAACACATCTTCGGATGAGGAACAAGAACCTCCTTGTCGCTCAGTTGGACGGCCACGGGTGCCATTTGAAGAGGCATCGAAGAAAACAAAACGAAGACGTGTAGCCGAACTAACCACAGACAGATCTGCAAATGAACTTCAATTTGCTGTAAATGTCGTTTCTGGAAGCAATCACAGTGAGGTCTCGCCACAAATTTTTAGTTTTAGTACAGCTGAAGCTTTAGCCCTTATGGTAGATTTGGATATATCCGTAAGAAAGTATTTGCTACTTAAGTCTGTTATTAATGGTAAGGCCCTGAACTGCCTTCCTAGTTATAAAGAATTACAGAAAACAAAAAATGCTATCCTCCCTTCACAATTTATTATTACTGAAATTTCTGCAGAAGTTGATTTGCAAGAACTTCTACAGGAAACAGCTGAAAGTATCCTTGAAATAATAAATTTTGAAGAGAGAGATTGCCGGATTAAAGTGATATGCAAGTGGGGATTTGATGGCAGTTCTGGGCATAGACAATATAAGCAGAAATTTTCTGATTTAGAAAACACCGACGAATTTCTGTTTCTTGTAGCAATGGCGCCACTCAGATTGATTGATATGGAAACGAATAAGGTATTGTGGAAAAATGAGAGCCCTTCATCTACTTTATATTGTAGGCCGATCAAGTTTTTATTTAAAAAGGAAAATGCTGATTTAGTGCGGAATACGGAAAAGAAAATAATAACAAAAATTGAAAATTTGATTCTTATTGAGATTAAAACAAAAGAAGGGCACTCTTATATAATTGAAGCTGATATGATGTTAACAATGTTGGACGGCAGTGTTGGAAACGTTCTATCAGAGACAAATTCAACTATGAAGTGCATCATTTGCGGAGCCACACCCAAGGACATGAACACGTTAGCAGGGATTAACCGTCCTCCTAACGTAGACAATTACCGGTTTGGTTTGTCAACTTTACACTGCTGGATTCGTTTTTTTGAATGCGTACTCCATATTGGATACCGCCTGCCAATTAAATCTTGGCAGGTTCGTGAGCCTGAAAACAAAGCTATAGTCGAAGCAAACAAAAAACGAATCCAAGCAGAGTTCAGAGCCAAGCTGTCTCTAATAGTTGACAAACCAAAACCCGGGTATGGCTCCTCAAATGATGGCAATACGGCCAGAATTTTTTTCCATAATCCATAAACAAGTTCAGATATCACAGGGATTGACAGGGAATTAATCGAGAAATTTGCCATCATCTTAGGAGTATTAGCTAGTGGTTGCGCTATTGATATGGAAAAGTTTGCGTCATTGCTGGAAGAAGCAAGAAATTTGTATATCCACCTTTATAAGTGGTACAACATGCCAAACACGGTACATAAGGTCCTTGTTCATGGGTGTGAGATAATTGATGCATTTTGTTTGCCCATTGGAGAACTGTCGGAGGATGCGCTTGAGGCTCGCCATAAAGAGGTTAGGAAACATCGATTATCTCACACCAGAAAATGTTCAAGAACAGATACGAATAAGGATCTCATTCGTGTTCATTTACTTACTTCTGATCCTTTTATATCCTCAAAAAGAAAGGTGAGCTCAAAAAAATATAAGAAATGCAACGAGGCAGTTCAGAACTATTTAAAAAAGCAAGAAAATGATGATTTAGGTATTGACTTAGGTACAATAACGAATGACACAGCGCCGAGCAAGAAATCCTATTCCGATTAGAATGGGTATATTTGGTGTTATTTTTTTAATATAGTTTATATTATTATTTCATACATTACCTACTAAGTAATTGTTATTTTGTTAAATATATTTTTTTAAATAAAAACCTAAATATCAATTTCAAATTATACAGATTTATTTTTTATTTGAATTATTCTTATTATTTTTTCAAATAGATAGACAAATTTAATAAATCATATTGCGCCCGCCACAAGTTGGCTACATTATCTTTTAAATCATTCGGTAAAGATCTTGAAAAATAAAAGCGTGACTTTTTTGTCTCTCTTAAGAATGCTATAATAATATCCTACCTTATCCCAATTTATTCGAGATCATCAACTTAATATTTTGACTTTTACAAAAAAAAACGATTTATGCGAAATGCATCCCGCCTGCTCCCCCACCCCTTCTTATTATTTTAAATAATTTTTGTCATACTTTAGAAAGCTACTTGAATAAGTAATCGCCCTGCGTTTACAGAATTCAAATAGGACCACTCGTTTTTAAGATATCGAATTTTGTCCCTGATCCCTATAAAGGAACACACTGTGCGCCGGTGCGAAAGCGTTCCGACACTGTCCGTTAGAGAAGAGTCATCGATCAGTCGGGCAGTTCTCCTCTGAACAGCATCGAGCATGGATAAATGTAGTTGGGGCAACAGCACCCCAAGCAAGTGACCAATACTCGAGGCTGGGCCTTATCTGGGCCTTGAACAGAGTGCGGAGGTCGTCTGGAGAAAATTACTACTTCTTCGCCCTCAACAAATACCCTACCTTTTTCCCAGCAGCTGCCGCTATTGACGAGATGTGTTCGTGCCAGATCAAGTTCTCCGTGATCTAGTCTCCGACCAGCCGAAATGAACGGCTCTTTGATAGAACTAGGCCATCCAGGAGTGGCCAACGTAGTGATATGGACAGCTATACTTCCAATAACTAGACAATTGTAGGCAGCGCGGTGACTTAGTAGTAGACGTCTACTAATCAGCCGCCCTGTGCTGCGCAGGTTCAAATCCCATCCCAAGAGAATTTTTTTCTATGGTAAACGGTCTTCGGACTGACGAATGCGCAGGAACCAGCCGGCAGGTCTCTAGGGCAGGCCCAGAATATGTGCATATCCCTCCCTCGCTAGAGTCCGTTCCTGTATCCCCCTATAGCCCCACGCTAACTACGGCTGTTTAGGACTTAAGCATTCGTGGTGGTTTCGGTATAAACAGAAAATCAGATCCATTAGCGGTTTGCAAGCTGATGCGATAAAAAGCATGTTGAATACATAAACAGTCGCCGTTTAAGTTTACCTATACAGGCCTAATATCATTTGATCTTGCGGTCAATGCAAAAATGCAAAAGGTACTTAAACTATTGGCAAGTAGTATAGAAGCATAAAACTGACCAACATGACAGCTTGTTATTATTATAGGCCTATTAAAATGCAATTTAGTATTACCATCATAACACTTTCGATGCGCATAAATAAGGATTTCCATATTTGTAAACCGCCGCTGAATCTGGTTCAATATCATACGATATTAACCATGTATACGTATATGAACAATCTTGATTATGCTTATACCATTTAAAGCAATGAACATGAACATGTGATTGAAATTGAATTGATCTCCTTTGTACCATAAACAGTACCAGCGTTTCCATTTTTATGATGTTCCAGCCATGTAATAATACTCATGAACCAAAAATATTTTGTCCCTTATACGACTGCAAGGAGCCCCAGGTTCATAAAAAATTTTAACACGCAAGACTGGGAGACTACGACTGTAGGTACCCACTAAACTGCAATTACACAATGGGCAAAATAAAATAACAATTATATAAATAGGATTTATTGAATAAATAAATAAAATTTCACAATGTTGCTCATCTCACTCATAATCATCTTCTATGTGTTTGTAACACTTGTCAGTCGAGGAGTTTTAATAGTGTCCATATCCTAGTCCATGTCCATAGCCTAATCCCAAACCATGTCCAAGTCCTAGTCCATGGCCTATAAAAAAATAAGGTTTAACATCAATCTGATGTCAAGCATTCAAGCTGTATCTTTCTTTCCATAACAATAGAGCATCTCTATACAGGTGAGTAGTTACTATTGAGTAGAAAAGTCCTGAAATTTAAAAGTACTGTGTGGAACCCTAAGTCTAGAACGCTTAAACGTCCCAGTACTCATACAGAAAAATCTGTCATTGTGACACTTTAACTGCGTCATATTCAAATTTAAATCTAAAAACATTCATTAAGCAGTAAGAGACTTGTAGTTTGCGCATTTTACCGTTTTTGTGTATGTTTTTTAAATCTAAATTTGGGCAATGCCGTGATAAGTTTTCTGCCTTTTGCCACTAGCCTTGCGCCTCGATCGCCGATCGCAGTCTGTTGTCTTTGTCTTCACGCAGAGCGCTACCTCAAGGTGACGTCGTTAGTGTCCGTAGTAAAACTGAAAAACCGACTAAATGTCATCTAGCATAATAGGTAGTTTTTAGTGTGCAAATAGTTCATTCCACGTTTGCTCGCTATGATCGCTATTTGCTGACGTTTAAGCAACTCGTACAGCTAAAAGACGAGCTTACAAACAGTGTAGCTAAACAGCTTGTGATAAATTAACATCTTATAGAAAAACCTACGTTATGTCACAAAAAACCTACGAAATGCAAAAAACGAAATGTCACTTTTCAAGATACGTAATACCCGTGCCGGGAACAGTAGTTTATATCTCCAAACTACTACTCAATGGACATGATGATATTGAATCAGAACTAAGTCGGGTGTTATATGGTAAGTAGAGGCCCATATAAGACGAATCATATAATTTTCCTCTAGTTTGATGGATATTTCACAAGAAATTGACTAAGTTTATTAGATTCATTACTTCAAAAACGCCTCCTCAAAATTGTGTCTGAGGGCTCTAAGGTTTGGTTTTCATATTGCGTGGAGCTAAGCAGTTGCAAGCTTATACATGTCAGAGTTTGTGTTTTTCATCATTTTAGAAACATGATACTTGTAAAAATATCAATCAAACTTTTAGATATTGCATCTGAAAGAGAAGGAAAGAGAACCTGTTGGGGCTACATTTCTTCGCGAAGCAACATCAATAGTTCACTAAAAACTTCGTAAGACGCAATATTGTGAGAAATCTGTTCAAACCTCCAAACACAAGTTTGCTCCTCGCACACATATCAGTAGAAACCAGATAACATAGTGTATTAGTATAACCAAACTGTAATTTTGTGTTTTGAGATTGTTTGTCAGGTGTAAGCGTTTATAGTCATGACCAGTCGTGAAAGGTTGATGTAGCTGGAGCCTTTTCCGCTCACTGTGTCAGTAAATGACGCATTTTGTCATGTTATTACTCATGTACTTAGAAACGATCTACAGATCTACCTGTCTGCAGGTTGTGAATAAGAAACTCACCATATCCTATAGCAACAGGTGCCGCCACAGCGACTTTGGACACAACAGGCGCAACAGCCACAGGTGCGGCAACCTTAGTGACAACAGGCGTGGGGTGCAGAGAGATCAGGTTGCTGTTCTGATAGGACGTAGCGCCGTGAGCGACAGCAACTGGGGCAGCAACAGCTACGGGAGCCGCTACAGCCACAGGCGCAGCTACTGCATGCCCTAGACCCAGACCGTAGCCACCGTAGCCACCGTAGCCGCCGTAACCATGAAGTCCTACTACGCCCGCGCGAGCTGCGCAGATGACGGAAGCCAAGAGTATCTAGGGGCCATAAAATGTTAGTTGAATAATGTGAAATCTGCTCTGTATAATAAAACAATGAAAAATATGAGCTTTTACCAGTTCCGTAGCCTGCAACTCAGGGACCCCATATCAAACTCTGCCGTATCTCAAACGAAGGGTAAAATTTGGACTATGGATTTTTACAAAGAAAACATAAACGCTTGGATTGAATAATGTGAATTATCACGTTGGCGCCCGCAGGAAGTTTTCTCAGTCAGAGGGAATAAATAATCGGCAAGAGATAACTTTCTGTAAAAGTATACAAAACTTTTTTGGGGGTACAGTAAATGCGAAAATTTTAGAAACGCAGATTTTTTTGTGTTGCAATGTCTGCAATATGTAAATCCATGGGGGGTCATAGTAGGTAATGCTACTGAATTTTGCGAATCGTTTAAATGGCAGCGGTGTTACGAGTGAGAATTAAAATAACTTTCAGATCGTCTCAAAGTTTGTTTTTGTTTGCTTTACAAACTTTCTGCGCATTTTTAGGGGTGGTTAAGCATCTTTGAGGAGGGGTTACAGTTTTTTGAAAATTCTAAAATTTACTTTCATTGTTTCTAATTTGTTCCAAGGTATATTCAAAACCAATATGTGGCTCAAACATTTAGTTTCTTTAGCAAAACTCATAGAAAATTTGAAAATAGGCATTGGTGAATGCTTGGAAAGTACTGAGTCAATTTTCTATTTCTATTTTTCTCATTTTATCCGTTTTTTTTTATTAAACGTTCCATAGCGGAAGACGATTTCTGTGCTTCAAAATGTTTACCCTCTGAAGACCATACTTGATAGTCAGGTTTACCTAATGGAATTCCTAAATTACTATAAGTACTTCTAGTTTTGAAAAGCTTCTTTCAGCTGTTGCAGTTTTAATCTAGAGGGTTAAATATAGAAAGCATGCTACTATCATCTAGCCGAACAATCTAAGGTCTAGTGTTTGACAACCTTTAGTTTAGTGAAAATTAAAATAACTTTCAGATCGTCTCAAAGTTTGTTTTTGTATGCTTTACAAACTTTCTGCACATTTTTAGGGGTGGTTAAGCATTTTTGAGGAGGGGATACAGTTTTTTTAAAATTCTAAAATTTACTTTCATTGTTTCTAATTTGTTCCAGGGTATATTCAAAAACAATATGTGGCTCAAACAATTAGTTTCTAGCAAAACTCATAGAAAATTTGAAAATAGGCATTGGTGAATGCTTGGAAAGTACTGAGTCAATTTGCTATTTCTATTTTTGTCATTTTATCCGTTTTTTTTTTTATTAAACGTTCCATAGCGGAAGACGATTTCTGTGCTTCAAAATGTTTACCCTCTGAAGACCATACTTGATAGTCAGGTTTACCTAATGGAATTCCTAAATTACTATAAGTACTTCTAGTTTTGAAAAGCTTCTTTCAGCTGTTGCAGTTTTAATCTAGAGGGTTAAATATAGAAAGCATGCTACTATCATCTAGCCGTACAATCTAAGGTCTACTGTTTGAGAACTTTTAGTTTAGTGTATGGACCTAAAAACCTGCATGGGTTTGTGAAAAAGACTATTTTTTTTTCGTACGTGGGGGCCTCTGTAATCTGGGTATAATTGATTCTGCGGATAGGACGGTATCTACGCCCCTGGGTTTTAGGAAGTTCAGATAAAAATTATGCAACTATGTCTTGATCGCACAAAACTTTATCTACCTCGTATATGTTGCAGTTGTAAATTTGACCATAGTGTGAAATCGTCAACGTTTAACGATGTGGTTATCCATGATTGCCAATATCGTAATCCCATTAAACAAGAAAAAAACGCATAGTACTCGGGTACCTTTTTGTCGTAATGTATTCAATCTCACTTTCTTCAGCATGTATTAGAATTTTCAGTCTGGAAAACTTTGATATCAACGCCTGTCATGTTGGTACGTAATCAAAGTGCTCCCAGCGGTGAATAATGTAATTATTTCGTGGTTTGATCAAATAAACTTCACTATTTCATGAAGTAGCCGATGCTCAGTTTATCATATGGATAGACGTACGCCTTGTGGGTGCAATAACTTTAATAACCTCATAGGTCACACAATATAATTTTTCAGGAACTAACGAAAACTATGTCGTACACAAATAAGTTTTGAGGAACTGACTGTATTAGTCAGTGAATTCAAAAATTATATTATTATATGTCATTGATTTAAGTAGTGAATTTAAAAAGAGTTAAATAAGTCGAGAGTCCGCTCTGATTCAAATAGTAGACATTATACAATATACAATAATACATAAATAGTATCTTTAAAACATATAAATTGTAATTTGAGCGCAATCCACAACATTTTTGCAAACTTGATTGTCATACTGAATCCGTCATTTCGTTATTTGCAAAGCGATCTTAAAAACATATAAAACATAATGTTGAGAGCGATGAAATTTTTTTTTGGAAACATGACCGCCATATTAGAACCGATTTCGATATTTGATCAATCTACGTATATCAAGTTCGTTTTCAGCGGAAACATCTGAATCTTAAATTTCACCTCAATTGAAACATACCATATTAAACCCGCTATTTCGATTTTTGACAAATGGATATCATATTCGTTTTCGGCGATGTGGAAAATGTAGACATGGATTTTTTATAGAATTCAGTAGATCTAAGTTTGGTCATATTTTAGGACTTTTCAACCACTGTAGAATCGATCACGTGTGGGCTCATCATAAATGTACCAAAGCATAAAAGTGTTGCATCGTATATTTAACTAGTAGATATTATTATGTCAACCTTTGGAAGCTTAGAGGAATCGGTACACAGAAAACTGTCTTCCATTTTATTTATTGTATATCTGTTATATCCCACAACAGTCTATGAAATGAAATGTTTATTATTCTTAGCCCTAAAGCTACTTCCTATAGTTTATAATAGTGTCTTACTCCAGTAATAAACAAAAAAACAGTAATTCTAGATTCCCTTAAAATCATAGTAACTGCAACCACAGTAAATGCAACAATAGCAAATGCGAGATAATGACATACAGTTATCTTAACACAGAAAGTACATATATTATGCCATTTTATCTAAATACAATTGCTTAACCTTACGAATAAATATATTTACAGACGTCGCTTCTCTAATTTCTGTAGGTAATGCATTAAAAAGTCTCAAACCATCACTATAAAGACATTTTTGCATATGGGATGTTCTAGCGAATTCTATGTCAAAAGTGTTACGTGACCTGATATTATATGCATGCCTCTCGGACCTCGGTATTAGATATTCCTGCAAGTATTCAGGCAATAAATGATTTTTTGTTTTAAAAATAAATAAGACATTTGACATTTCAACCTTTTGCTGCATTGAAAGCCATCCGAGGGTTTTTAACATTAAATTAATAGGCGTATAACGTGTACAAAATAATATAGTGCGCATAGCCTTATTTTGTAGTAACTGGAGCCTTTGAATATCAGTTTTTTTGCATGATAGCAACAATGAAAAACAATAATTAAAATGTGGATATATGATGGTATTATATACAAGAAGACGACTCCAGTGACTAAGACTTTCAGATATTCGCCTAAAAAATCCTATTTTTTTCCCAATTTTTTTACTAACATAATCAACATGCAATGAAAAATTTAGCTGAGGATCTAAAACTACACCCAAATACTTCATACTAGATGCACTTTCAATTTGAATATTATCTATCTCAATACAAAATTTCTTTTCTAAAAATGTATTACAGTTCTGCTGTGTCCCAAAAACCATGTATTTTGTTTTTTCTACATTCAACTTAAGCCTATTCACACATAACCAGTTATACAGAATTTCCAGTATTGAGTTCATACTATCTACAACTTGTCTAAAATCCTTACCGTACACATAAAGCAATGTATCGTCTGCAAATAAGCTCAGAAATGTATTTACTAAAACCCTGTTCAAGTCATTTATATAAAGTAGGAACAAAAGCGGGCCCAACACACTACCCTGAGGTACCCCAATTTCACTATCAATTGAATTTGACGCCACGTTATTAATCTTCGTCACATGACAACGGTCTTTCAAGTAGTTCATAAACCATTTTAGTGCACTGTCTGTAATCCCATAGGTCTGCAATTTCTGGATCAGTGTTTTCCTATCAATAGTCTCAAATGCACGTTGAAGGTCGATGAATACACTTAACACAATATTCCCGTCATGAATGTATGAACGCCATTTCGAACACACATACTGCAGCGCCGAGTCGCACGAGTGTTTTTCCCGAAATCCCGACTGTCCCTTAAACAACAGTTTTCTTGCCTCCAGAAACTCCCGTAACTGCGCACAAACCTCGGTTTCCAAGATTTTTTCTATCACTGGTAACAAGTTAATGGGTCGGTATTGTGCTGGTTTATTTGGTGAGGACACTTTTGGAATAGGCACTATAACACTAGTTTTTATTGCTTTTGGAACTTTTCCTGTTGTAAGGGATGCATTGATCAAGTGAAGTAAAGGGTATCCGAGTACACAAAAAGCCGTTTTCAAAAACTTAACAGTACAAACATCATCCGCTGTTGACTTGTTTTTAAGTTCCATTACCCTTTTTCTAAGTTGATCAATGCTTATAGTGTTGAAGCTTGACAGACCATCACTTAACTGTGGCAATTCTTGAAATGTCGGTGCAACTTTTGGTATTTTGTCGGCTATTTCCTTTATGCTTTTTGCATAAAAATTGTTAAAATTGTCTTGAACAGATCCAGCATCTTCCTCAAATTCAATATTATCATATGACAGAACATTCTTGTTTTTGCTGCCTACAACTTGCTTTAAAGTTTGCCACATTTTTTGCTATCCCCCTTGCATTGGTCAATAGTAATTTCATAATATTTTTTCTTTTCGTTTGGAACAACACGAGCGTAAATGTTCCTTTTTTTCTTATACAGATTCCAGTATGAATTTAATTTGGTTATTTTAAACTTTTTATAAGCTTCGTCCCTGTCTCTTCGGGCTTGGATTACGAACCTATTAATCCACGGTTGTTTGCGGGTTTGAGTGTTTTCAAGAGGTACAACTTTATTTACAGTTTCTGTAATATTTTTCATAAACTTTTCATATAATAGGTCCACATCTGTTGTTGAATAGTCCCAATCTTTTCCGTAGAGTTCAGCTATAATAGTGTTAATATTTTCCTTATTAAATTTTCGTTTATATTTCATTTCCTCTGTTTTAATCTCATGTTGCACATCCAATACGCAGCCTATAATTCGATGATCTGAAATTTGTGGAAAATCACCCGTGATTTCTTCAAGCAAGTTATTGTTAGTCACAATTAGTCACAGTCTATGCCAAAATAGAAACAATATATTGCGACTGGGCAGCTTGAGCGCTAAGAAGGGATGTGATATGCAAAGGCCGCCGTGTCGTCCGGCCGAGTCAGTGCCGTAGCCCAGAAGCCGAACTTATGTCATATGACATCACAACCGAACCTCGACTACTACAGCAGGCAATGCAGAAACTGTCATAGCTTCCAGAGTTGTGAAAGATATCAGTTACATTATTATATTCGCAGTTTAACGTGGAACCTTCGAGTCTTACCGAATAGATAAAGTAGTGCCATGGGATCGGTGTCTATACTTATAAAAACAACCAGACCAATAAGTTCTTCGAAAAAAATTATTTTTGCAATTTAATAGACTCGTCAAAAGAAGTATTCCTTACCCCAAATATCAAAAACACCTCTTGTGCTCTTTATATAAATAAAATATTCTCCGCAGTTTTTAATCCCACGCCAATCTCCATTTTCGTGACGTCATCGTAATTTTTATTGCTACTATGTTGGTAACACGTTAAGTAACAGCCTCTACAGTTAACACATTTCTTGTCAGCGAATCAATCACAAAATAAGTGCGTATCCACAACGGTGATGAATTGTCCAGCGAAAATAAAGAGTTAAGGAGAAAAATGTCATATGGAACAAGAACATACAAAATCTAAACTGAACACGCCTCGACATTTTCAATTTACCTGAATAATATAGAAAACATTGAAACAAGATATGTAAACGGGATCGTCGTGAACACATCCTTTTCGAAGATGCTAGCCTATAGCTTCAGCCTTTTGGTTTGTCAACGACAACTATGAAAAAATGCAAGGTGATTTTTGCTTTTCGTCGCCTCTATGTAAAAACCCTCTCAGTCAAATTAATTATAGTCTGTAACGTCAGCATTATTACAACGTTCAGTATTTATTTATGATACTTAATGGCATTCTGAAATAAGCTTGCTTAATTGATTGAGAAACCATCAAGCAGTAAATCTTTATCAAACCTTTGACCAACAACAAAATCAGAAATGATTAAGCATCAAATACCCATAACTTAGTAGCTAACACATAATAATCAAAGTCACGCTTGACAACTACTCACCAATCTGTACATGTTGGTTATGATGCAACAACAATACCGTTGTACTAAGTGCAAAGCAAAATTTAAGAATGCCCGTTTCTTCACACGCTGGTTGCTTTATACCGGCCCAACCCCACACTGTATAATAATAATCCTGATAATTTAAAATATTATGCGAAACTAGAGCATAGACCAATCACAGTCTATCTAATGACACTCAAAACGGGTATGCCGGTGAAAAAATCGACCAGCGCATATGGGGAGCCGAGTACAAAACCGTATTGACGAAGCGGTGTAAGAACTAGGTTGTTCTACGTATGTAATTAATGGCTATTAGCTAAAAATGTGCACTGTAGGTTTAGTTTCTCGATTTTAAAATACTTGTATTAAGGAGAGGTTCACAGGTATCACGTGGGTGTTGAGCGGTTTAGGAGTTTAAGGCTTAGTTCAGATTATGTACGTACGACGGGCATAGGTGTTCAGTTGGCACATGGTACAAATTTTATACAGAATGAGACTAGGTCAGTGTTTCTCAATTTTTTGCTTTGATAAAAGCTTCGTTCATTTTGTAAATACAAATTCCGTAATTTCAGAACGACATTGAGGCATTTTGGTTTTTGTGTTGGTGACAATTTTAGTCCTAGATCTAGATAATTTGCCTTTTTCATACTGTACTTGTGTTGTTAAAGGTAACAAGAGCATACTGAAAGTTGTAGTTTTAGAAGGTTGAAGGACCTTAGATAATAAATACCATGGACAATTTGGAAGCATGCCAGAAGCTCGGCCAGTACTAGTTTTGTGCTAAATGTACTAAATGGGGGTATCCGCTACGATTTCATATTCGCGCATGTTTGCTAAATATTTTTTTATAGTTAGACGTGGCAACAGTACTCAAACTTCGAATACCTTCATGGACAAAATTGGGCCCACTCTTTAATTAAGCGGCACGAAAACCAGTATTCTGGTTGATTTTCGATGAAGTATTTATTAATGTCACCCCAAAATATTTCAAAATGGAACTTTTTTAACTGACCTATTTTTCCGTTCTCTATGAAAAGTGTTCTTTAAAAGGGTTGTTTTCGATAAATGTGAAAAAATTCGGGGGTATAGAAGGAACCCCACTTGCCATAATAGCATCACCTACGTTAATTTCTTTCTCTGCATATTTTTCATCTAAACTAATTCAAAATTGTTGCATCAATTCTTCAGCAAAAACAGATATTTCCATTTTTTTAAATTTTCGCTACGTTCTTACGTATACGTAGTTTAGGAATGTGCAAATTGAATTTTTACTCCAACCAATCACACCCCACTTTTTGGTATATTAGTTCTTACTCTGGCATATACACAAAATAATAACAAATGAAAAATAAAATAGATTCTTAGTAATACGAGCCCCTTCCCACTTTAGTTGTCTTTAATATAATCACCAATCGTAAAAATAAAGCATTTAGAACAAATATACTCAATATTATCTTTTTTTCGGTGTCACCGGATTTGCGAAAAAATCAGTATCATCCACTCCGAGGCATCTCTTTTACGGAATAATTTGAAAAAAATGGAACGCCTGTCTCAAATGGCACGACTCCTTCTAACTTCATCAGTAAAAAGATCTGTGTTAAGTTCTTCAGTTTCGATTTCAATGTCACACGGTAGAAAGCAATTTTCAAGTGCTCTGCGGTTAGTGGCGTAGTACAATTTCTGACGCGCGATTTCATGTGAACAGCTGGCACTAATTCTGTGTTGATAAAAGTGTCAATATTGCAGTAAAAAGCTTCGGAAGGTCCAAGCTTTTTAAGATGATTGAAGAAAAAAAATAATAAAAACATACAGGGTGGCGCAAAATGAATACTATGCAATGAGCGATACACCACAGAGCAACAAATGAAAGTCGCCGAAATGAACTTTTAATGTCCGGAATCTATTGTTTCATATCGGATTTACTTCAGCTTGAAGCTAAGGAAACCCTAGTACCAAGAGTATGTCAACTTGTTAAAAATTTCCGACAACAAGGAGCAGCATCGAACTTTGTAGTGCTGAGCGGGAACGGTCAAACGTTTGTTGCTGTTGAGGGTTCACAAAGAAGTCTACTTCCCATTGCGCTGTTTCTCAAAATCGCATAACGCTGCACATTTTTTTAATAAGAGCCTTGGAAAACTACCCAAACTTGTACTGTACTGTACGAGAATAAATTACATCATTGACTTCAAGGGAGAAATTAGTTTTCAGAAACTCTGGCATATCTACAATCTTTACTGACGACCGTTTTTGTCGAAATCGGGTGCGTAAATTACCAATCTGACATTAATTTTCTGTTTTGATTAACAGGAGGTAAACTAGGGTCCCAAATTAACTCGTTGCAACAAGTAACGCTTGTAACGATGGAAGAGAATTTAAACTTTTTCTGGATACTATTGGAATGAAGATTTATCGCATCTGTACAATTTCCACCAGAATGGTTTTGTGTATGTATATTTCGAATAATCAACGTAGAATAATAGTCTGGTGTTATTTTTTTCTGTAAAATAAATTCCGTTTCTTGGAGAGATCGCCTAGGTAGCTCATGAATCTGACATCAATTTTTGGAAGTAATTAGGACAAGTGAATCAAAACTACCGATAATTTTTCATGAAACCGTGTTGTCTAAAAACTGCACGAGTTTATTTCCTTTCGGCTCTTTCGCCAAAATATGAAAATAACCAAATGCGATTTTTTACTGACAATATGCTTGAATGGAAACTTATCAGGTTTATTTTGATGTACGAGTGTTATTCGGTAGAATATTTTCCGAGTTAAAAGAATAAAAGTATGTGTTAAGTTCGAAATTTTGTTTGAATTTAACACACAACGATCTTTAAAATTCGATCTTTATGCATGTCAATATGAGAAATACACATTCCATCAATCGTAACTATCATACGGACCTACAGGAAAATTTTCGATACCTACTGGGCAATTTTCACTTAAAATTTCTTCCCGTTGTCTAGGTAACGTAAAATCTTCGCTATCATTTTGCGATAATTCCACACCTCTTCTGGCATTTTTTATACATGATGGAAGTATTCGCTGACATTCACTGAGGAGTCACTATAAGCCCATTTTCAATAACTAAATAGGTCTTGACTGAATTTTACCGCTTATTCAAGCATTTTTCCAACAAGTCTTAAAGAGACCTTCCGTCAACAGTTGCGTAACCAAGTAACAACATACGAAATGAAAACAATGCGTCGTTGGTTACGGAATATTAACCGACCCGGTCCGCACACACTGGCCACATCGTAAATAGATACAAATCGAGTCACGATTGATTTTTTCCGCTATCAAAAGCCCAAGACCGTTTACATGTAATTAAAGTATAGGCGGCAAGGCATTGCGGCCGGTCATTTGTGATATACTACTTGCATTTGCATGGTTGGGTGGTTTCGGTGTGCAATACTGCAGCAGACGGCTAGTTCCCTATTCGAGGTTTATTGAATTCTCTCGTAATTGTTTGCAGTTAAAATTGTGCATCTTTGGATACGACGTCACATAGCTGCATCCAAACTAAACTTAAAAAATTCAAATTATCAATGTGAACAATAACAGACGGAAAACGCAGAGAACGATTGCTACACAGTGTGGTTCCAAAATATGGAGCAAAATTCAATTATCTTTTTGACTATTTTGTCCTTTAAGGTAGATGTCATAGGATCAGTGTATACTGTGATCTGTCAGTATTTATAATTGAATTTTATATTTATTGACCGTACACCCTAACAGACGTAAGTAACTATTGATGACGCCACTGACATTGACGGAATCATCAGTAAATACTGACTTGTATACTGTGATGTGGTGGGTTTCAAAAGCGACAACAAAAAAGCAGAGACGTTTGGCGTTTCTTCAGTTTTCCCAAATTACAAACGTTGAAAATTATAAAATAAATTCAATGAAGCAGTTTACCAATACATAAGATTTCTATTGATACCGATCCATTAAAAATTATTAAAAAATCATGTAGACACGCAAAACTTATAAAGATATAAAGTATCTTGTTCCCTATTTCATATCTGTCTAAAAACTTAATATAACAAATTAATATATGTTTCTGATGCATAAAGGTATTATTTAAGGTTAATTTGTTCCGATAAAGAAGCAAGGATGGATCTAAAGAAATTTTATTTGGGAAAGCTACAGGCGCATTTTCAATTACTAAATCTTAAACTACTCAGAACCTTAAAAATCGTCTATCGTTCATTTACCAGAAGTAATAGCTTTATAACGGCGATGTATTCAGTCTATAATGGTATACTTCATTGAATTGTATTGGCAAAATATCAAAATATAAATAGAACATTTTATGTAATACTAAAACTATTATGTATAATCGACATCACAAAAAATGTTAAACAAACAAACAGAATATTGAGAAGAAAACAGGTTTATACAATGCATCCCCTACCGACAAGCGGAACAATTGTCACCGAGTGACGTCATCCTCAACGACGAAATTCGATCACGAAGTTGTAGTATCATTTGGTATCATGATACATGAGCAATATTATTGATATCCTGGAACTATATGTTTAATCATGCAGTCTTGTATAATTCCGATAAGATTCGCCGTTTTTAACAAGAACGGTCTTTTTTCAACAGTTTTATAAATTATGATACTGATTCTCTTGAGTTCGACCCCCTTTTGAAAGCACAAATCATTTTGATAACAGATTCTTTACCAGCGACTCAACGCGGATATAAATTTCCAGATCACTCTATGAAGTTTTAGAGGTTTGAGCAGGATGTTATCGAAATCAAACAAAATAACATTTTTCCATTAAAAGGATCAAGCTTGCCAGAAATGTCACTTCTGGGCCATTATTATACAGGGTGTGAGAAATAGCAACATTTCATTAGAGCCAGTCCGTCCCTGGATAACTGAATGTGTTAATGGCCTTCCCTAGACACAGTCTTATGAGGCTAGAGTTGATAACTATACTGTCAAAAATTTGATGGATTATATTGTATCGTCTAAAAGTTATTTAGGAATTCGTTTCCGGCGTAGTCCTTCAGAGCCATAAATTTCGAAAATCATCAGAGCGAATATAGTCTTAGAACAGACCAAAGAATTAGGTACCTCATGAAATTTTAATCTGATGTTTCTTAAATACTGCGTGTTATATTTCTTATTACCGCTTCCTTAAAGCTAATCGCGCTCAAAATGCTCTTGTATACGAGTCCACTTTCAAATATGTTAATTGTTTTGTTACGCTGGTTCTCTTTCTGAACATATAAACAAAACCTGTATGTTTAAACAGTACATACGTTTATTTTAGGGATGTCAATAGCTATATATTCGCAAATCATCTTCGTGGCTGCAAGGTTTCGACGAAAGATATCTTAATCTCTGTACGGTTTCAGTCTGCTTTTGATGTTTCACTGGGTGCCAAAGGCTGTGATTAACTTTTCGACAAGGATCAACATTCTTGTACTTTCTAGTTTTTAGTTAGTGAGAAAATAGAACACCCATTAAAAATGATTTCATTTCAACGAAAATATACGGTTAGACATAAGTAAGAGAAAGTCGTGATTATGTTTTGAAGGGAACACATTTTCTGTAGTGCCAGATTCCCCTAGTAATGTGTTGGATAGCTTATACATTTATCCAGTCGAGTCTGAAGGGTGACTTGTGTCTTGATCAGGTATCTCATCCCAAGCTAACCACACTTGATTCCGAAAGACTGTCAGTATTAGTTGAGGAAGAGGTAAAGAGGTCACTCTTCCTTTCAACATACCCCAATCATGTTCAATGGGCGAAAGGTCTGGAGGTCTACATAAGGAGGCTACTTTGCGCGTTATTGAGGTAATCTATTGTAGCTCCAACAATATGACATTCAAGTAGAAACCTTACATCACGTCTTTCCCCGCAATACCACCTGACTTATGTCCGTCCATCATTCATTCCTAGACAGAACCGATACTGAAAAAAATGGGATGTATAATATTATTTCTAGTGATAAGTCTCGGTTTTATTCAGGAACGCTAGTAGTTTACTTCTTCATATGCCAGATCAGAATTATCTGACGTTGCCGATAGTCATCATGCATTCCTTCCAAGTTTGTGCTGCGGGATCTTAGATACGGTCACTGAGCTAACTTGGGATAGTCATATTTAATTCCACCCTTCTTTCTACATTGCCCTGTGCAAAACATAATATCCTACTTTTATACCTTGTTGGTATATTGAAACTTCATCTTCCTTGCTATTTGAATCGATGGAAAATGGCTGACTAAAGCCCTCCGCGCACAATATACTATGCAAATCTCTGGCTTCAGTATGTAGGTAAAAGTGTACTTCTTAAATTATAGTCTTTTCTCAGACGGAGAGCCGGACAGTCTCATTCTACGTAGTGACAGTTACCATGTCTGCTTCTCATTTATGGAGAATGTAGGTGCAATGCTAGTGCTGCAGCTGGGTTTTATCGTGAGAGGTACCCAAACGCTGATCGCCATCCCGATCAACGAGTTTTTATGATTTTGCACCGTTTACCCTTAGAGGGACGATTCCCAAATCGAGCACATGGCGAAAAAATAATTTCCTTTCCTCACGAGAACGTCGTATAACCAGCAGTCGAAGAAGACCCGAGTACTTCGGTACTTCAAACAGAAGCAAGCACGGGCGTGCCCAAAAGCAAATCCCACCAAATTTGTGAAAGTACGAGCTCCACATTTGCTGAGAGAGGATAGATCACAGTATCGTTGAAAAAAAAGTTGAAAATAAATAGCTTTCAAAAATAATTTCAGTTTTTTTGGGTACCCCCACGTATGCTGTTTGATTCGACAAGACTGGAGTCTCTCCTTAAAATACCAGAGTCGTCGGATACAGAAGAACTGGACAACGTTGTATATGAAGGACCTGAATATTCAGGTAAATAATAAAACTCGTCAAATCAATCAATATTTTTTCAAAGAAAATAAATAGATAATTATTTACAAATACATCTAAGCTAAACTCGTTGCTCATCTTGTAGTGAAGCGCATCCCTTTCAAATCCTCAATGGAGTCCATATCCATGTCCTAAAGCTAGAGGCGCATGCGCGATCGCTACAGGTGCATGGGCGATGACAGGAGCATGGGCAACCACTGGGGCATGGGCTACTGCTACAGGTACAGGATGGACTGAGATCTGATTGTGGTTCTGATATGAGGTGGCACCGTGAGCTACAGCTACAGTTGCGATGCCATGGTCTGGGATCAGTCCAGCGTGGGCGGTCACAATCATTGCGCAGATGATGGCTACCTGAAAAAAAAATTGCATCAAGTAGATAGACTTATAAAAGTCTACGTGGTTATCTGACGCTGTGACTGACCACTGATTTTTAGTGCTAAAAGCTTTACAGCATTAAAAGCAAACTTCAATTAGAAGAACTGTAAATGCCGTGTTTTTGTTTCTCCATTGATTCTTTATTGTATTTAAGCAAGTAAGAAATAGTTCAGAAGTTCTCCAATGTGCTCAAAGTACGTCTCAATCCTACAGCATAGGCGAGGAAAATATTGTGCAAGACATAACGTGATGCTTATATCACAAAAAGCCGTATTATTCAATTCCGATGGTAATCCCTAAATGAGTCTTATTGAAATTTGGAAGGATACGTACAATATTCGCAGCGATCAACAAAGAAAATGACATCAAGTAGTTTAACTCTGAACTTCCTACGCAACGCCGTCATCAGTTCATAAAGGATAAATTTCAGCGAAACTTAAATCCTCTGACAAAAAAGTCAGTTACGAACATGTATCGTTTATTTCGTCCATGGTCCACCTATATATTAATTAATTAATAGTTTTAAATTCGAATGTAAGAAAAAATCTATGATGTGTGAAATATGAGTAATGGGTACGAAGAATTACCCGGATTAAGAGCGTATAAATTACAAAGATCAAAGGATTTTGAACCATGAATGCCAACTCCTACAATTTGTTTTCTGAAAACGATCGCAGTTCGAGAAACTTTTAGTTTTACCTTTTTGGCTTTTTCTCCGCCGTCACTAGACTGAGTTTCAAAAACTACAGCTTTTTCATCCTTGATATAGTAGCAACTTTTTGTGAGAATTTTATCAAAATCCGAACTGTACTTCTCAAGCTATAGGCGGTCCAAGGATTAGCGGACCGACAGACTGTAGACAGACCGACATACCGACTGAAACCCATTTCATGATGTTCATGTCATTTAAAGTCCTATAAATACAATATCTCATTTTCCAAAATAAAAATGACAACTAACTGTCCTTAACTTCGTTTTTACGAATTATCAACTATTAGTAATCGTAGGTAGCTAGAAACATTTGAGAACTTATAATTTAGCAATAATTATCAGCTTCGTTTCTCACCATTTTTTAACATTTATAAAGGCAAACATTAATTCTCAAACTTCAAAAACTCAACTAGATTATCTCTGCACGTCTCAGGTATTGGTGCACGATACAAAAAATGCATATGCAAGATGGAAACAATGCTTTTGTCGGAGTTAGTTGAGTAATGTGAATCAATTTCCAAACTACGCACACATGAAAATTCTGCATTCCAGTCTCTACAAAGTTATGCACGTCTGAAAGGATATTTCTGTCTCCATCCGAAAATCATCGAAACTCTAGAAGTGTAAAGTTTTTCCTATTCATAATTTCGATAGATATGCAACGATCTCCAAAAATACCTTATCCCATAGTAAATGATATACTTGCAAAACTGTAAAAGTCGTTCCAACAGTTGCCGACAACATGACATACTAAGAAATTCTGAAATGTTAGCGATTACAATTCCTCCGTCTTCCCTCACATGTGACGCTAGACGTTGTGCTCAATCCTTACAAAAATTGTTACTGCGCGAATTCTAACTCTAAACTACATTGGAAACTTTATCCAGTACTTACAAAGTTGAACATTTTGAACGACTATATACCACAAACCGGCAAAACAACGGACAATGCGTAGAAACAAACAAATATACGAATACAACCATGCAAATGATCGTGTTTTATAGCATGCTGCCCCACTGTGCCCCTACATCTAGCACAAGGGCCATTACGGCTTCTATTTTTTTCGGTCTAGTCAAACACAGAATACGTTTGTACAGAACTGTCGCCAGTCCGTCTGATAGTTACGTAAACACACAGTATACCTGAGACACAGCAGCACGACTATTCGAAATTCAATTTTTTCTATTACCTTGAGAACTCGACATACACTATTAGATAATGCAATAATTTGTGCAGATATCAGAAGATTCCTCTGGAGCCAGCGCACTATACAATGTAGTACAGCAGGCAACTTCATGAAGATTACGTTGATTTTTTGGGCACACAGAGTGGTATCCACAGATACATTGCAGGTAATGGTTGGTGTCCCGCTGATTAATTTGCTGGTATAGGAAAGATGTACGCTCTACAAGACGAGCGCTGGAGCCAAATACAGAAAGAGATGCACGCTTTGTTGGATTACAGAAGAGGTTTTTTTTATATATCGAAGCAGCCGCGCAGGCAGAAGCCTAAATGCCGGAACACCGCGGCTGCTATGATGATCCCAAAGAAATTTTATTAATACGATTTTAGAACTGCCTAAGGTTAATAGAACTGGGAAAAGCTTCCTCTTGTAGATTGTTCCACAATCTCGACACCGTATGGACAAAGGAGCGGTCGTATCGGCCGGTTCTGGATGTACGAAGTTCGACACGGTTAGGATGGGACGGGGAAGTTAGGCGAGTCTGTCTGGCAGGCACTTCGCGCCATGGCTTCATGGAAGAGAGCGCTGAGGAGCAAAGCCCGTTGGTGTAACGGTAGGAAAGAGCCAGATCGCCGACAGCCCGCCGGTGCGAAAGAGTCCCGAGACTGTCTGTTAGAGAAGAGTCATCGATGAGTCGGACCGCCCTTCTCTGGACAGCATCGAGCAAGGATAATGTAGACGGGGCGGCAGCACCCCAAACGTACGAGCAATACTCGAGGCTAGGCCTTATCTGGGCCTTGTATAGAGTGAGAAGGTCATGCGGAGAAAAGTACTTCTTAGCCCTAAACAAATAGCCTAGCTTTTTTCCAGCAGCTGCAGCTATTGACGAGATGTGTTCGTGCTAGATCAGGTCCTCGGTGATCTGGACTCCGACCAGCCGAAATGAATGGCTCTTTGGCAGAACTCGACCATCCATCAAAACCGGGTGAGCGCAGGGACGCTTTTTGTTCGTCAAAGTGTAGTACTGCGTTTTGGAAGCATTGAACTGTACAAGATTGTTGCGTCCCCAAGCAGTGATAGCCTCCAGGTCTCTTGTCAGAGAGGAAGTCATAGCTAGTCTTCTTTTTTCCAACTCAGCGGCAGAGATCGGCTTGTCTGAATTCCTGCATGTAAAGTGTTGTCATCAGCAAAGCTGTGGATTGGGTTGATCGTGCAGGAAAGGAGGTCGTTGATATGTAAGAGAAACAGTGTCGGAGCCAAGACAGATCCCTGGGGAACACCCGCGTTGACGTTGTGGGATGAAGAGGAGAACCCGTCGATTACGACGGATATCTTGCGGCCAGAGATAAAGTCAGCCACTCATCTGCAAAGCTTTTGTGGTAGGCCATAGGATGGAAGTTTGCTTAAGATTGCAGCGTGCCACAGCTGATCGAACGCTTTCGTGATGTGAAGAGCAGCATAAAACTGGATGAGTTTACTCCGCAATTGAGTGACGTAAGCTAGGAGGTCCCCTGTGGATCGTTGGTGCCGGAAACCATACTGCCTGTCGCTAATCAAGCCGTGACGTTCGAGGTAGTCCAGAAGCTCGCGTTTTCTGGGAAGGTGCCGGATTCATAAGATATCTGGAAGAGACGCGAAAGAACTGGAGCAAGCTCCGGTGCACACCTCTTCAGTACAATGGCAGGAATCAAGTTCGGACCAGAAGCTTTGTTGATGTCGAGCGACAAGAGCACTCGTCTTACGGTCTTATGCCTGAATGTTACCTCCCGCACAGTGTAGGGAATCATTTGAATTGACGGCACTTGGGCGTTGGGGGGGACGTCCATGGTGGAGTTGGCAGCAAAGATCTTGGCTAGCACTTCCGCCTTGGCCTTTGAGTTGAATACAATAGTTCCATCCTGACACGTAAGTGGTGGAAGGCTACTGTGTGAGAAGTTCTTTTCAATCTGCTTGGCCAGCGTCCAGAAAGACCGACCGCCATTGCGCTGCGACATTACCCTGTGCCTAACTTTTATATCATGCTAGTTTTTGGCATTGCGAACCGCTGCTTTATATTTGTTTCTGGACTCAACGTCGGCTTGTCTGTTCTCTACAGTGGGGTTTTGCAAGAATGTTCTGTGTGCCTTGATCTTCTGCTGGCGAGCAGTGTCACACGATTTGTTAAACCAGCCGTTGGACCCTGGTCTAGGCACTTTCACTGTGTGAGGGATATATTCCTCCATTCCGACGTGGATAATTGCGGTTATCGAAGAAGAGACAGCCGACGCATCTACGTCAGTGAAACAGACATCTTTCCAAGGAAAGCTAAAGAAGAAGTCTCTGAGCCCCTCCCAGTCGGCATGTCCGTAATGCCAAGTTTTGCGGCCTGTACGAGTTTCTACTGCCACAGCGGGTTCTGACCGAAACCTAATCTCCACAACACCGTGGTCTGAGTTACCGAGGGGGGACAGGACAGCAGCGCTGTAAGGGACAGGATGCGTGGTCAGAAAGAGATCCAGCAGGCTACTGGCATGTGACGAGAGGCGGGCGAGAGAAGTAGGGCTCGTCACCAGCTGAGTCAGCCCTTGAGTAGGAGCGAACGCTTCGACTGCACGACCCGCTGCATCGGTCTTATTTGAGCCCAACCAAAGCTCATTATGGGCATTGAAATCACCGGGAAGAACTACCTCTGAAGCGGGGTGATTGATGTTCAGGAAGTCGATCTGGACGGCGAGGTATTCGAGTAGGTCATCCCAGTTATGGTCCGAGGGAGAGCGATAAAGGCAGCAAATAAACTTAGCTGTTGTTTTGGAGTTGAGGCGAAGCCACAGAATGTCCTTCCAGTCTGATTCCAAAGAAACTGGAGCAGGAAAGACTGCTGCGGACAAAAGCCACAACTCCCCCGTTCTTTCTCAGATTGGAGTACACCTATAGTTTGGGAAGTTAAGATGGTTAATCGGTGCAGTCTCTGAGATTTTTGTTCTCCGCCAAGAAAGCACGGCGGGACGATTGGATTGCAGGTAGTGATGAACAGCATCAATGTTGCTGTTAATCCCGCAGATGTTCGAAAAACAAATTTTATCGTCGATTCCGAGAGTGGAGTGAGTTTACGTCCGGAGTTCTTAGTGCTCGAGGGATCCATCATCATTAATTTCTTTGTTTTGGAGGATAACCGACTGCATAGCTTAGGTGTGGAAACATGCGGACATTTATAAGACACCCTGGGAAAAGCTAGCGGGTGGTACTGCCTCGGTCGACTGGTCCTTGTCTACACCTTCTTTTTACGTGTTAGTGATCCCTTAACGCGTGGACAATCACTTGAACGGGAAGAAGTTGTATACTGGATACAACAACTTCCGGAACAAGCATTTGCCACGGCCCCACTCAGTAGGGGAAAAGGTGACGTGCAACTATTGGTCATGGTGCATGGACTAGATATTAAAACCTGAAAAGGGAGCGGTGCGGATTACTTGACAGACAGAACATGTTTCGACAGCTACCTAAAGAGGGTACCAAAAGGAGAATAAATGAATCGCGTATATTGAAACGAAGATGCATGTAAGTGATGGCAAATGGGTTGCTATTTAACCAATAGTGAAGAGAATGATGCTAATCAAGGTACATGATAATAATAACTGGTCAAAGAACCAATAATTGGCTTGTTCTTTTTACTCCAATAATAAATTACGTCGGCTGTATCTCAGCTCAACCTATAGCTATCGTTTAAAATAAAAATTTAAATGAAAGTGGTCAAGAAAAAATATGAATGAATATCATTTTCAGCTTCCCAAAATGGCTGCTGGGTGGCAGTATTCTACTTTCAAACATTCAAACACAATCATTTCGCAGACATTCATTATCTCATCTCATTAAATATACTTATCGTGTTGACTAATCAGTTTCCGAACTTTTGTCATTTTTGCAAATTTTGATTAGTTAAGGATTGGGGGAAGGTTAAATCTCATTTCAGAGAAAAGCACATAACTTCTTTTTTTTGTACCGCTTTTGAAGGTCTTGATTTCATTTGAAAGAGTATTCCCTGCGAAATTCTGACAGATCAGTCTAGTTTTTGGACGGTAAATGGCGCTTTATGAAAGTGTTCAAAAATTTCAAATACAATAATATATTTTTTGTCATATTCGTACATTTTATACAACTATTCATAGCATAAATCCATCTTCTTTTGGCAATTGTAATTTAAGCCTATTTCTTAGTATTAGGAATAAAAATATTGATATGCGGTTTCAATCGTTTTATAGGATTTGTTATGCTCGTTCCGATCAATATATATAAAAATTGTATCATTGTAGTTGAAATTTTTGTAAAAAATCCACCGACTCGTGAACTTTTGAAATTCCAATTACGCCATATAGCGGCCATTTCAAAGTACCAAAAATAAATTAAAGCAGTTCCTTTTACTCACCCTTATCATAAAATTGTTCAACCCATAGCTCTAGGTTGAGCGGTTGCCGAGGTTCAAATATATACTTAACGCAAAGCCATGATGAAATGCTGTAAACATTATAATAATAATAATAATAATAATAATCTTTATTTGTTCTGTAGATCATTTGTCATGACATAGAACACGTCAAGGTACTCTATCTTGAAACTAAGACAAGCATTACAAAAATAGATAAATAAAAATAAAAACAATACACATATGAAATATATGACAGTCCCAAAAACAATGAACAAAAATACAACAAGTACATATTAAAATAAATCGGCCAAGTTAAAATATATAAATAAAAATAAATAAAATACAAGAACCAGAAATAATATGCTACAGTA